CGTTTCTCATTCTGATGTTCTATAGCAAAGATGGGCAATCTTTTTCTATGTAAGAGCTGCATTTCAAAACCTTTAAACTGATGCAGGCCACATACAAGAGAAGAGAGGGGGGAAAAAAGGTCAGTAAATCACAATTATTTATTCATATATAATTATAAATTAGCATAGGTATACTTAATTTAGCTTCTGGAACTGATGTAAATGTAATATATTGGAAATATTTGGTTAAATATTAATCACTACTAGCTTTAAAATAGTTTCGATGTGTCTGTTAGCTGGTTTTTTGTTTTAATTTTTACTAAATTCATTGTGGAAAAACTATTCACATACATAAGTTGTAGAAAATAACATTTGAATTTTTTTTGCATATTTCCTTAAGCTGGGGAATTTATATATTTATTCATATTTTACATGGGCCACGGGTTGCCCATCTCTGTTCTATAGCACAAATCATTAGCCTACACCTAAACTTCAAAAATAGTTTATTTTGTTCTTTATTTTTATGAAGGTTTTTCACAAACTTTTTACAAGAATACACTTGACTATCACTCTTTCATACAAATAAATCTTTGCATTTCCATTATCATGTATTTAGATATGAAAAAGTTTGTAATTCTAACTGAATAACTTGACTGATATTTGTCAAAAGAATTTGATGGTTCTGATGAAGTGTGAATTTTGCTTATGAACTGCTGTTCCACTGTGCTGCTTTAATAAAAAAAAAAAATTGTAGGCCTATACTGTACATAGTATCAATGAAAGTTAATTTGTCAGTAATCAACTACTGGAATATACAGTGGTGCCTCGTATAACATATGCCTCAAATAACAGATGCTGTGAACAATGAACTTTCTGTTTGGCCATTACATGACTCGAGCAACAGACTGGCTGCAGACAACGGACTTTCCGTTCGGCAGTTACGTGAGGCGAACAACAAGCTTTCTGCGAACAAGTGCGAATGATATTTTCACTCTTTTGCCATTGCCAATGACAATCTGCTATTTTTATAATATATTAGTGTTATTAGAATATATTATTAGTATATCTGAAGTACAGAGCTCCCTTTGAGATTCGGCTTGCTCCCTTGTTTATTACGTACATCACCTCAGTGCAGGGCATTTACATTTATTCAAGTGTTGTGCAAATCATGGCTTCTAAAAAAAACAGAAAGGTGATTTCAATTGAAACAATGCAAGAAATCATCAGAAAGAGTGAAAGTTGACAACTTTCTTGTCGAATGGGAGAGGTTCAGGAGTTTACCAACACTCATTATCCAAACAGAGCTGAGGCCACCAGGATCAATGATCTCTACAATGACACCCTTGCCCGTCATTTCCGATAGGTGTTGAAGAAGAAAGAGAAACAGACCACCTTGGACATGTTTTTCAAAAAGCCAGCAGGCAAAAAACAAAGGATGGAACAAGAGCAGTTGACCCTGCAAGCTCTGGTAGCCTCTCCTGAATCTGACTCCGATTAAAAAACAATGAAAAGAGACCTGCTGCAATGTGTAAAAAGTCTGTATCTGTATGAATGTGTGAAGAAAGTGTTCCTCCACCTCCTCCTCACAACATCTGATTACCCGGCATAATTGGTGACTGCTCCATTTTCAATTTTTTAATGGTACAGTATGATTATTTTATGCTATGGAACGAATTATATATTTTAACATGTATTTCTATGGGAAAATGCGTTTCATATAACGGACTTTTCACTTAATGGGCATGCACCTGGAACAGATTAAGTACGTTATATGAGGCACCACTATATATTCATTAAAAAGGGGGAAAAGGAACAAAGAGAGAGAGAGAGAGAGAGAAATAATTTAAATTAATAATAATGAAAAAAAAAAAAAAAACCAGGAAAAAGTGTGGTTGAATGAGAACAAGCCTATTTTTCAAATATTTACTTTATTTTTAAAAACTTTATTTATTTAGATTCAATGTACCATGTTCTTTTATATTGTGTTAGTTTGAAATTTTACTATATTTGAGAATTATACCATGAAAGTTCAGAAAATAAATATGGATAATGAATAATTAGTCGTCAGATGTTATTTTGAATGCTGTAACTATACGTACCAGGTACCAACTAATTCTAATAATGTGTTTAGATTAATGACTAAATAATTATTTCAAGATTGCATCATTTCAATCTTACTTAATGGATTTTAAATTAAATGTGTAAAATTCTGGTACAAAAATCTTGAAAACTTCTCACAGGATAAAGAGTAGGTATACATATAAAAATCTAGGACTACGGAGTCAAAGTTGTTAGAAATGCAGACTCAGACACCTGTTATTTTTTGGCTACAATTTGAAAAAATTGTAGACCTATACTTTAAATACCCACTGTCGTCCACCTGCCTTTCCTTAATCTCGAGAACAGAGTTAGACAAATGAAAGTTGAGACCAGATATGGAAACCTTAGGGAAAGGATGCCCCAATTAACTATATATATGAACTTCAGATTTAAACCTGAAGTAACATTATTTCAATTTAAAAATTTCCCCAAAAGAAGTTAGATGACCAGCACAACACCATTGCTAGAGGAAAAGTATGACAATCAGGGGCAAGCCACTACTATTTTGAGGTGAAGAGCACATACTTTAAATTAAATAAATTAAAAATTGCAGCCCAGCATTGTGACAAAGTCACAATAAATAATTGCTCATTATTATGTACTTTACATTACATTCTTAATAGGAGCATTAATCGATTGGCTTAAATTGCGATTGGATTAAATGATTTGACAATACTAATGGAAAAGATTAATTCAATAAGTAAATTATATGGACTTCAGATGAATTATAAGAAAACAAAGCTACTTATTTCATGCAAGAAAAATATAGATAATGTAACGTTGCAGATACAAAACAGGACAATTGATACAGTTTCATCAATTAAGTATTTGGGGACTATCATACAGGAAGATGGCAGATGCATTAAAGAAATTAAATCTAGAATAGAAAATGCAAGAGGTACTTTTATCAGAATGCAGAAATTTTTTAAATGCAATGTTTTTAATTTACATCTTAAAATTAGAATGTTAAGGTGCTATGTGATGTCAGTTTTGTTTTATGGAGTAGAAACGTGGACCTTAGANGGTTGAGTTCCTTTTTCTTATACGTTCCACAGGTCTCCTTTTCACAATACGATGCAAAACCTTCCGGGGAGACGTCTTGTCGCTCTCCACGTTCCAAAGTTCTCTCCTTTTCACCCTCACACGCTAAACTTGCCAGGGAGACTTCTCTTTTCGCTCTCCACCTCCCGTTCCTTCCTACCCCGTCTCCTCCCTTTTCTCCCTCTCCCGTTCTCCCCTCCGAGTCTCTCGATCGCTCCCTCCCCTCCGAGCTACATTTCTTTCGTTGCTTCTCGGGTTAGCCCAACCGCATACCCAAGTCAAGGAAAAGAAAAACGAGAACATTCCAGGAAGGGTAAACAAATAGGACAGACAGAGGTGAAGCGGGAAATATACAAGAAAAAATGACACAATTATATACGAAATATATGATTAAATATGGCATGTAGCCACACTATGATAGCTAATTCTATTTTTTTTTTAATTGTAAAAAGACTCATACAAAATGGCTTAGAAAACTTAAAAAGTGACAAATGAAACTACATGACTTTATTGCAAAAAAACAAGAATTTCAGAAAAGTCAGAAACTTCATCACAAAAAATGAACTTTACATTTCTGTGTGCATATGTTTGTGTGTTATTTAACATATTATTATGCAAATCAATATAAATATAACTTAAAATTAAAATAAAATTTATTTTTGCTCACATGTTCCCCTATCTCTATTTACTCTATGTTAAAATGACCTCGTTTAATGCAGTTTTGTTTAGTGCTTTGTCGTCTAGGAATGCATCCCCCGTGTTAAATGGGGTCTTACTGTAAATATATTATGGGGCAAGGGCAATAAAGTTGTCCCCAGTTGGTGCCATAAGTAACCGTGGATGGTTATATCACAGTTCGGGATGTGATAGGTGGAACATTATGGTCACAGTTGATCATTGTGAGACAAATCTATGACTATTCAGTGAGGTTTCAGAGATCTTACAACCAATAGCAGTATTATCATCTGTTCAGCAGCACGTTTCCTTATTTCAACATCATAACAAAGACATTCTTTAGAATTTTTGTATTCATAATGTTGCCATCTCACCACGATCCGCCACGTTCACCAGGGGCCGTATTCTGGTCACTGTCTCTGGTCTCTCGTCTCTCGCAAGCCGGTCGCTGATTGGCTAATCATTTGGATTAGTCAATCAGTGACCGGCTTGCGAGAGACCAGAATATGGCCCCAGATCTTTCCGCCATCAAACATCCATGGAATACGACATAAGACAGCTGCAAGCTCCTGCCAAAACACCATCAAATCTCGTTGAACCAAAGGTGCAGATACAAAATATACAGTGTCACCTACCACAAGAGCATCAAGGAACCATATAGTAGCAGCCTTCTTCATCAAGTACAAACATGCATTGTGACTACAGGAGTAACGGTAGTGAATACAATTACTAAAATTCTTACCTATACAGAAACACTTAAAATATAATAAAAATAATCTTTAATAGCTTATAAAAAAGTGAAGTAAAGTTTTAAAATTCGATAAACAAAAACAATTTCTACAAATTTTAAACTTAGAATGTCAAAAATATACTTTCGAGAAAACAATTTATCATTTACATTGTCCAAGAAATTCAACGTGATTCCCGAACTTGAAAAAAGACACGCTTTACTTGTAAAACTTAATTATCTTTATGTTTATTACACTAAAATATTCATCGGCATTTTCCACTTTCCAATCTATTTAACTGAATTATTGAATCGTATAGATTTTAAACTTTTCGGAATAAATAATAAAATAAACCGAAACTTGTGAACTTTTAGTTTCGGTTTATGTTAGGCCTAACGACCTCCGAAAATTTAAACAATGGACATGTGATTAACATCTGTTACGTAATTATATATTTAGCGGTAACGATAAACTTACCATTCTTAAATCTTAATTATCTTATTAATGTCGAGAAATAAAGAATTTTCCGAATGAATTTTAAAAGCAAAGTAAAAAATTCCGACTTCGTTTCAAACAATCAATAATTCAAATGTGTACTCAGTGTCGCCACCTATAAAAATATAAATGTTTTACTGTAACTTTTTACTCCATTGTTTCGTTTTCTCGATTGTTTCATTTTCGATTTTTATGTTATTTTTTTTAAAATTTCACGTTTTAAATATTTGTTTTTAAAATTAATTTGTATATTTTAATTTAAGAATTAATAAGCGTTATAGATTTACTAAAAATTTTTTATTTTAAATTCTATTTGTGTATAGCCGCTCCGGCAATATGGAAGCGTGTAGCGATTCTGTCGGAAAGGTCCGAGTTTGATCTTTCTTCTAGATTTTAATCTGAATAGATTGGTTCGTCTAAACCTTCTCATAATGGAAACGAAATTAAGTAATAAAAAATTATTTTAATACAACAGTGATGTGCGATTCCGTTACTTTTGAGTAACAAATGGTTATCGGTACAGTTGCACATTCGATGTTCGTTATCGGTATTCATCGTTAGAATGTAACAGGTATTGAGCATTTCTTCAATATCCGTTGCATCCTGAGTAATGAATACTGAATGTTGCTATCTACTCAATATCTCAATATCAATTCAAAACTTTTCACTGTTAAATAGATGACCGTCACGACTCCATTTCTAACGGAAAAGTATGATGTACAGGGCAAAACACTACAATACTAATTTGAGGTGGAGAGCATATATTTTAAATGAAATAAATTAAAAATATGATTAAAAATTGCAGCCCGGCATTGTGACGATGCCATAATAAATAATTGCTCGTTCTGTTATAATTCTATTTTATTTCTGTTGAGCCTTTTTAAGTTAATTGTACAGTTTTAATTAATTACAGTATACTATAAGAGATGAAGTATTGTCTCTTTTAAACCATAAATATAATAATATAATATGTATAATACTGTATTTAAAAAATAACAATTAAAAATGTGTTTTATATGCAAATTTTAATCATAATATTAACAGAAACCATTAATAAAAATAATATTACATTCAAATGAACCTAATTTAAACGGTTGAATCTGGTGCCATTACCCTATAAATGCAAATTATTTCTTTTCAATATATTTCAGAAAGCAAAATTCAACCTTCCAATTATTATAAAATAATTGTTTTTCTGTTAATTTTATAAATGAAAATTTAAAATATTAAAACAGTAATGGCATTTGATTGCGTGTTTTTACATAGCGAGCAGCTAAGTGAGTAAACCAATTGCATAGTCCTTTTCAAATGAAACGGACTATGCTATTGGTTTCCTTACTTAGTCTCTTGTCACAAGTTAGAAGCTCACTATATTGCTATGTATTACAGGTAACGTCCTTATTAACAAAATTATTATATTTTAAATTACGCAAAATGTTTGTTTGTGAATTAATTAAAATCATCTATATAATTATGTAAATGAAGAGATGTTTGTTTGTTTGTTTGTTCGCTTTACACGCATAGGCCGTTCGACCAATTGCTACGAAACTCGGCAGATACGTTCATACACTTCTAACTTAGATAACGTCACCACAAAATATCGAATAAACTTTTATATATAAATTAATTTCTATCTATATTGATTTGCTAATTTATACGTAGCGCCATCTATTAGCAAAAAATTAACAAAATAATAAACTATATATAATTCTTATAAAAAAGAATATAATTTAAGAAAATATATATTATAATAACTTAACTACTGCGATAATTTTATAGTGCGAAATAGACGCGCTATATCATTACTGAAACAGGTAGCATATAGCAATTCTAATAAGCCTTCCAATAGCCGAGTGGATAAAACCACTGAACTCTGGTAGTTAGTTCGGGCATGACCAATGGGTTGCCCACATGGAGTTTTTCGGATTTTCTTCACGTAGTAACACCTAAGTAGGGACAAGCTTTCCATAAAAGTGTTCTTGGGATGTATCCCTCTCGGTAGATCGCTCACGTGTCGAGTTGCTGTAACCAAATAGACCAAACTAATTCTAACGAGTGATTATTTATGGTGACATCGTCACGATGCCGGGCTGCAACTTTTCATTACAATGTTTTCAATTCTTTTAGTAGTGGTCTTGCTCCTGTGCATCATACTTTTCCTGTTAGCAATAGATTTGTGTCTGCATCATCGTGGGAAAATTTTTAATCGAAGTAATGTGACTTCCGGTTTCGTATATAGTTAATCTGGGCCTCCTGCTACAAGCTTTCCACGTCTGATGTCGACTTTCATCTGTCTAATTCCGTTCTCGAGATTAAGGAAGATCAGACAGATAAACAGGGATGAGAGTCGGAATTCATATGTCTATAATATTTCCAAATTTCAGCTTAATAATTTTTCTATAAACACGATATGTACGAGAACATATTTCCCACATAGTTTATACAATCTGTTGCTAAAATTTAAACACTATTATTACATAAAAGCAATTATTCTAACATTTTTACAAGATTTTTTTTATTTAAACAAGTTTTACATGAACTCTTTAGACGTTAAGGTTAATAATTTCGATCACATGCTGGGCCATACAACTCACCCAACACGGATTACATTTCAAATATTAATAGTAGACCAGTATTAATTAGTAGTCGTTGACCTAGGATGATCAATGACTACTTTTGATTAATTACTTCAACCCCTAGTCCCTTTTTCCTATCGGACCAACGGTATTATGGCATTCGAATAGGAAAATCATATGATGCAAGGTTACTGGGAAGCACAAAAAATGTTTTAAGTGGTTTTCGAGGGTGCCGGGTTTAAATATTTGGTCCGTTTTCTTTTCTTTTTTTTTTTTTTTGCGAAATTTTATTCGTTGAAGATTACCGTTTGATACTCGATTATGAGTTAACATTAGAAAAAGATATATCTTAAGTTTTTAAGATATCACATTTTCAATTGCTGTCTACTTCACCAATGAAATTGTGCTATTTCGTACTATCCGTGTATCGTGATAAACGTGACGATGGTAGACTGGAATAACCAAAACTCTTTATATGGTTTTCATTTAAATGTTTGTTATATTAGTGTTTGATTTATATACCTACAAAGGTAAGGGTTTATCACACCAAGTGACCACTCTAACACATTTTAAAAATTCTTTATTCCTCTACTTTTTTAAAATTCTTTCCGCCCTGTGGACACTAAGAGGGTCTCTTTTAGCAAGCACATTATGGGTTCGGCCAGGCCCAGAATGGGGCAGCCGGATGGTATGGGACGGGGCCGACATATTGGACGAACCAGCCCCGAAAAATTCCTGGGGATTTTTCGACCCGTTCAGCTTCGATCCCGGGTTCCACCAGAGCGGTAGGCTGCCACCTTGACCGCTCGGTCATCCGGCCGTCATTATTCTTCTACTGTACACAATTTAAAGAATTTTTAAAACGTGTTAGATTGGGCACTCGGTGTGATAAACTTTTCCGCAAGATAACTTTTATAAATATAAATCAAATAACTATAATATAACATTATAGTTATATTATAGTTATTTGATATATTTGATTATTATAGTTATTAATATATATTAATGCAATATAACAGAAGGGTTAGAAGATAATCTAATAACGAAATAATCTAATAATCTAAATCTTTGCTGTTATTTTTTGTCCAAGCAACGCTAGGCTCATCGGCTAGTATGATATATTTATCAACCTTTAGGCAATTTTCATTGTTGGTATGTTTCTATCTTCGAGTTTTTACTTACTTGCTGTTATAACGTATCACGGATTAAACTTTCGGCTGTTATTATATGATATTGTAATTGTGTCACATTTGATTTTCCAGGTTTTTGGAATCTCTGTGTTTTGACATCTCTGAATCTCAAAGAAGCCAAAAAACTGAAATCCAGATGTATGTGTGTGTTGGAGTCTATTTCGTTTAATATTGCAGAATGAGTTAAGATTAAGAAATGAAATTTGGCCTGGTAATTCGTACATAAGAGGCATTGATGGTATTAAATTTTGATTAAAGATAGAGGGAATGACTTGTCATATCTTGGATGGGATCGATTTAATGAAAATTCGATGTTTGTCATGTCTCTTTTATTATTTAACATCAATAGATTAACCAAGGTGCTGCCCTGCAATAGATAAACCTGTGCTGGTCCGGGATATAATGAATCAAACAAAGAATTTAAGATAACTTTCAAAGTTATAAAGAAGGAGCAAACTATATCTATCGCAATAAAACTTTGTTTTCATAAAAAGAATTCATAATATAGATGTTTCTCTATTCCAGTTTATTTTGTAATTTGTAAGAAATTTGTTAGATTCTTTTGAGTTGTACAGTACACATTGGTACACATAATAATAAACATATGCGAGATCCGACCCGTGTGTAAACCAATTTTTCACTTTCCACTTAAACTTTCGACACATTTTAAATAAATTTATCATCTTCCCATTAAAATAACATTGCAAACAAAAAGATCAAATATCTCATCAACAACGATAGAAAGTTATAACTTATAACGCTCCTCTTTAATGTAAACGTTCAACCATCTAAACAATGTCATTCTCATACTGCAAGACTTAAAGTTTACGATAACGTCCGATTTCTTTACATTAGTATGGTCCCGGGAACACTTTTCGACCTTCACACCTGCTAAAGTAACTTCTAGCTCTACTAACAGTTCTATCACATGACGATTTTCCCAGGCCAAATCAATATAAGCCCTCATCATCCCCTCTTCAGGGGAATCTCACAAGCCGGACTATATTGAAGAGCGATATCGTCGAGCTATCTTTATTAAGTGTGGTCTACGAATCAAAGTCTTCTTGTTATTTAATAAATCTTTGATTTTCTTGTTAAATGCCTGCACTTTACCGACGACCCCTCTCACCTCCTCCATTCGACCTGACAAAAAGAATCCCGAACCCTCGGGATCGTAGAACGTAACAAGCCATCCACTGACAAAGTGGGCAGGTTTAACCAATCTGTTGCCGACCTCGTCATACCTCCGGCGTCCCACACACATGTCCATATTTAAAAGATGCATTTGAGTAAAATAATTTATTATTATTTAGTTGTAAAACATTACAAAACAACACATGTATTTT